GTGGAAGTGACAGTGGTGGAAGTGACAGTGGTGGAAGTGACAGTGGTGGAAGTGACAGTGGTGGAAGTGACAGTGGTGGAAGTGACAGTGGTGGAAGTGATAGTGGTGGAAGTGATAGTGGTGGAAGTGACAGTGATGGAAGTGACAGTGGTGGAAGTGACAGTGGTGGAAGTGACAGTGGTGGAAGTGACAGTGGTGGAAGTGACAGTGATGGAAGTGACAGTGGTGGAAGTGACAGTGGTGGGAGTGACAGTGGTGGAAGTGATAGTGGTGGAAGTGATAGTGGTGGAAGTGACAGTGATGGAAGTGACAGTGGTGGAAGTGACAGTGGTGGAAGTGACAGTGGTGGAAGTGACAGTGATGGAAGTGACAGTGGTGGAAGTGACAGTGGTGGGAGTGACAGTGGTGGAAGTGACACTGGTGGAAATGATAGTGGTGGAAGTGACGGTGGTGTTTTAGTGTTTAGCCTGCGCATTCAGTTAACTGCATGTGTCGATTGTTTCCCTCTAACATTTGAAACACTCTGTTTTTGTAGACAGCTTAAATTGAGTTTGCCCTCAAGACAGTTGCAGTCCCCTGCTGGCGAGATTCCGTCTTACTGAATAGTGGGCCACCACTATCAAAACAATGCAAAGGCAACTTGATCGAGTCTGCGAAATCTATCGGTCGTTATTCCGCCCCGACACAACACAACACACTGCTCCTACGTAAAACAAATAGGATCCTGCCTAGGCAATGCCACTAAAATAGCAGTCATGGTAAGGGAACAGAAAAATCAGAGAGAAATCACAGCAAAATCCGCATGTCGCCATTTTGAAAACAGAAGTCCATGTTTTCGTATTCAAAATCAGGAAGATCAATAGAAATAAAATAGACAGTTATCATTAATATACATAGAATGGACAATTATCATCTATTGAAATAATATGGACAATCATCATCAATAGAAATGAAATGGACAATCATCATCAAAAGAAATAATAAGGAAATGTAAAAAATAAAGGATCTTTTTCTACGCCCTTCAGGTGTCTTGGATTTATAGGGCTACATCTATATTTTATAGACCAAACGGCACTTCGTGGGTTATGTGATCAGCATCAAGCCGGCCGCCTTTACTTCAAAGAACTATACCTGGTACCCACTCAAGACTGGGTCGACCTCGGAACCAAAATCTTTTTTGAAAAAAATTACGACCCCCCCCCCCCCCGCCCCCGCCCGCCGCTCGCCATTAGCCGAACCTAAGACCTTCCGATTCGCAGATGAGCGTCTAGCCGCTAGACCACGGCGGATCTCTCTCTCTTTCTCTCTCTCTCTCATTAGCTTTCTCATTCTCTCTCTCTCTCTCTCTTCTCTCTCTTTCTCTCATTAGCTCTCTCATTCTCTCTCTCTCATTCTCTCTCTCACATTCTCTCTCTCTCATTCTCTCTCTCTCACATTCTCTCTCTCATTCTCTCTCTCTTCTCTCTCTTTCTCTCATTAGCTCTCTCATTAGCTCTCTCATTCTCTCTCTCTCTCATTCTCTCTCTCATTTTCTCTCTCTCTCTCATTCTCTCATTCTCTCTCTCTCTGTACAGATATATATATATATAAAACATATTTTTCACGCCCCTTTAAGCATCCAACTTCAATAATTTGTATATTCTCTCTCTCACATTCTCTCTCTCACATTCTCTCTCTCTCTCATTCTCTCTCTCTCTTCTCTCTCTTTCTCTCATTAGCTCTCTCATTCTCTCTCTCTCATTCTCTCTCTCATTTTCTCTCTCTCTCTCATTCTCTCATTATTTCTCTCTCTGTACAGATATATATATATATAAAACACATTTTTCACGCCCCTTTAAGCATCCAACTTCAATAATTTTTATTTATCGTCGCCCTTGTCATGTTGTCTGGCAATAAACATGATGATGTCGAAACAATTGTGTCTGAACTATTTACTTAACCATATGCAATATTTACATGGAGGCAGTTGCTGGTGTTTGACATTTTGAAGCTCCAAAATAAGAAAGATGTTTTAGAATATATTAAGCTGTAAATCTTAGACAAGTCATACTTGACCGGACAGTGAGAAGTCCAGATATCGATCGCGTAGAATTTGTGCCGGAAATGATTCCTTTTGGAGCTGTTTATCCTACCTGAAGGGACTTTCATGAATATGGAAATGCGAAATACATCTTGACGAAAAGCCCGGGCTGCCTTTCTGTATAAGGTACTTGTGACGAATTCGATTATCCCTAGCCAAAGATTTGCCAGATACATAATTTTATCGAGATCAGGTACCGTTATCAAGATGTGAACAATGGCTTCTTTCTTGTAGTCTAACCCAGTGGTTTTCAACCAACAAAGACAAAAAGAGGCGACCCTGAAAGTATGTAGATACGTTTTGGTAAGAATTCAAAAAGCAAAAAAAAAAAAAAAAAAAGACTTCTTTTTTTCTTTTCTCTACCCCTGGAATGTCTCAAGGCGTCAGGAGAGGAAGATATCTATAGAACGGACCCTTCTGTTCGCTTCTTATATACTACCTCTCAATGTCTCTGAAAATTATTCTATACTAAATTAATTCATTGTAATTAAATTGTTAACGGTAGACTTACAAGTTCATCATGAAAGCAAAAAACATCCTATTCTTTCTGTTTGTTTGTTTCCTTGCTTGTTTGTTTTATAGATAGTTTAAACATATGTTGTTTGTAATTAGACTAGAAAATATTTTAGTATAACAAGCTCAGTTGGACTCAATTTCAGAACTATTTGACACCCCCCCCCCCCCGGAAAATTATTTGCTCCCTCTAGGTTGAAAACCACTGGTCTAACCAATTGTGGCATTGGTTATCACATCTGTGCACAACCATTCGGCTCAATGACTTACAATCATTTGCATCGTGCACTTCCAATCATTTGCCTCATGGACCTCCAATCTTTTGCGACACAGATTTGTGTGTGTCCTGAGGCTAATATCCAAGCCGATATATTCAAATATCTGGGAACAATTTTAACATCAGACGGAAGATGTGTTTCAGAAAATAAAAGCAGAAAATGCCAGACTAAAGCTACATTTTACAGAACGAAGAACATCTTGTGCAACAGGTCCGTTTCTTTAGAGGTCCAAAAGAGATGACTAAAACGTTATGTAGAACCTATATTACATGCGTGGTAGTGAATCATAGAATGTAAATGCACAAATTAGAAAAAAAAACTTGGTGGGGACGGAGATGTGGTTCCTTAGACGAATGTTAAGTATCTCCTTGACTGCTGGAATAACTAACGGGGTTTGCTTAAAGGAAGCTAATGAAAGTAAATCAATATATATACAGTTATAATGTAAAGACAAGCACTGTTCTTTGATCATGTGATGAAGGAAAAAGGGGGGGGGGGGGGGAGGCTTTGGAGAATATTGTGACAACTGGGAGGATCAAGGGTAGAAGAGGAAGAGGCAAGGCAGACCGACAGAAATGATGACAGATCGATTGCGACGGTGGCAAGGAGAGGTAACATCGGTGGAACTGATCCAGATGACAAGGGACCGAGATCTGGGATGCATGAATGTCTATGCAGGTCGGCGGGACGCGTGATGATGATGATGATGCTAATGTGTCTATAATCTTGGTTTTCGGTCTGTCGGTGACTCTCTTCCCCTCCGAATTTTGCTGTAATCCAGTTTGCCCCATTCTTCGGAATTGCTAAACTAACTTGATTTATCTTTTTTTTTTTTTTTTTTTTTTTGATTGAAACGGATCGAAAGGTTTGGTCATCTAGTAAGAATGCAGCCAGAACCACTACCAACGAAAGAAACATGAAACAAACAACGCTACACATGAAAAGACCCATAGTGAAATCAAGAGGCCGCTACAAAAGAAATGGATTGATGACATTAAAGAGCTTTCGCATCGACACGAAATCACAATAAAATTTGCTGCCCATCAACCAATAAATCGCAAGTTGTTCCTCCCCATGTCGCTTAACAGCAGAAGCGGAAATTTGTGATGATGATAACTGATGATGATACGGATACTGGGTTCTGTTTGTAGGTTAATTTATTTCAGCACATCTTTTTTATGTGTACTCTGTGTTCTCAACATTCTTCGATAAACCCCCATTTCTGCAGCATCGACATACCATTTTACTAATCTCTTGACCGTCGATGATTTTCTTACGTACTCTATATAACCAGTGTCTTATTAATCTGGTGTCGATGGTTATGGTAGTATGAAAAAAATGTTCACACGAACGACAACCTTAATTGTCTCATGTAGCTGTTGTGGCTTACTGTTGTCAAGGAACCTTCCAGTTTTCAGAAATGTTGCTAGTTGTATTATTTACACTGTAAAAATACCTATCTTGCGTGAATTGTTAAACATTTAACTACTTTTATATTGTTTCCACTTTATGTTGATACAGGGCAAGCTAATTTTGGTCAGGGCACTTCTAAGTGAGCACATAGATCATCGCGGTTTGGAAAAGGATACGAGACGTACGAATAAACAAAGGAACACACTTTATTTTTAAAAGCTGCTTTTTCAAAGCGTGTAAATTGAAACTGGCTGCTGAAGATGGTGATTGGGCGAATATAGAACTTAGAGAAAACTGTGATGTCTTTTCTTAACCGAACTCAACTCAGTTTACATGTTCACATCTATAGAAGTCCATCCGCCGCACTAAATCATTTTAAATTTTGTAAAGATTTTTAAAAAAAATATGCTGCATGTATCGTGTCTATTGCTGTCATTGAAATGTTTGCTGGTTTGTTACACAGAAAGCTGAAAGCAGACCTTGCCGCATGTATCGTGTACATTGTTGTCTTTGAAATGTTTGCAGGTTTGTTACACAAAGAGCTTAAAGCAGACCGGGGCGCATGTATGGTGTCCATTGCTGTCTTTGAAATGTTTGCTGGTTTGTTACACAAAAAGCTGAAATCAGACCTGGACGCATGTATCGTGTCCATTGCTGTCTTTGAAAAGTTTGCTTGTTTCTTACACAGAAAGCTGAAAGCAGACCTGGGCGCCCACATGGAGCTGGTGGATGAAGAGGATGAGGAACCGGAAATCAAACCTCAGCGGAAGCCGGTGAACTTCCGCAAAGAAATGCTTCGTTATCAGAGCTTAAGGTATGTCTTCAAGCATTTTGAGATGGCCATTGTAATTAAATTAAGGTAACCTTGGGTAAATAATTTGTCATTGGCACCTTTACGTCTTTGCAGACAATTAAAAAAAACTAGTAAAGGACCCTTTTCCACGCTTTTAGGCGTATAGGGAATATAGGGCTAGACCTCTATATTTATAGACCAATCGGCACAAGATGGGTGACGTGGTCAGCATCACGCCGGCTTTACAGACAATAATGTTTCATTATTCTTTAGGGAGGCATGGAAATCATAGCCTATAAAATATGATCCTTCTATGGCTTCATTTGGTAACAGTACATATCAAGCAAAACGTGCTTTAGCATCTGCCAGATCAGAAGAACTGTGTTCTATTTGTCCAGCTGTTAGAGTTTCCCTCCTACAAGAAATGCCAACCAAGGCTAAGGTCCCCCTGCGTAAATAACGTAATCTTACAAAACAGTTGTTGACTGTACGCTGTTTCTTTTGTCATAAAAATCTGGACGCGGCAGAACGTCTCCAGTTTTACTGCCATTTTCAGCTGGTCGCGACAACGGTCGTAAAAATACGACGGCCTTATAATTTTGTGAAATTTGTTGTGCCGAAAGTAGCAGATATCGCAGCCAAAATGTGAGTAAAGCAAAAACACAAAATGCCAACTGATAAAGAAAAGAATAAGAAGTTGAATAAGAAGAAAAAGAAGAAGAAGAAGAAAAAGAAGAAGTAGACGAAGCAATAGAAGCAACTGCAGCACCTACAGCAGGAGCAGAATAATGATAATGATTATTTAAATAATAATAATAATAATAATAATAATAATAATAATAATAATAATAATAAGAAGAAGAAGAAGAAGAAGAAGAAGAAGAAGAAGAAGAAGAAGAAGAAGAAGAAGAAGAAGAAGAAGAAGAAGAAGAAGAAGAAGAAGAAAAAGGAAGAAGAAGAAGAAGAAGAAGAAGAAGAAGAAGAAGAAGAAGAAGAAGAAGAAGAAGAAGAAGAAGAAGAAGAAGAAGAAGAAGAAGAAGAAGAAGAAGAAGAAGAAGAAGAAAAGGAAATACGTCAATCTTGAAGTAATATACAATATTTCACAAAATAGAAAATAAAAACCGTAATTAAAATTCGCTTTTCAGTAGAATATTTTTTTTGTCTTTCGTGCAGAAAACAATAACACTATTTTTCGCAAGAGGCTCTGGGACCTGTGGGCTCAAGCCACCTGGTTCTTACTCCACTTCGCCCGTCCCTCTCCCCCCCCCCCCACCCCCCGTCCGCATCCTCCGCTCCCTGAATGTATGTGTTTTTTGTGTGTGTGTGGGGGGGGGGCGGGTGAGTCCATTTACACTATATAAAGACATTACCATAATTTAATTAATCCTTTTTTAAAGTGTTGGTTTATAAATTTAGTGGTTTAAGACTAGAATGTCTTTGCACCGGAATCCAGAGGGGCGTACAAATAAAGGAAGATAAAAAAAAAGCATGGTGAAGGAAACTAGAGTGTGAAGTGTGAAAAAAAAAAAAGATAGGGAGGATATCGGGAAAGCTGCAGGCGTCAGCAAAGGAAAGAACCGCTTGGCCTGGGTTGGTTGATGGACAGTGCTCCATTGGCGAATTAGAAAGACAGAAAAAGAATAAGAAGGAGAAGAAGAAGAAGAAAAAGAAGAAGAAGAAGAAGAAGAAGAAGAAGAAGAAGAAGAAGAAGAAAAAGAAGAAGAAGAAGAAGAAGAACTAATGTAGTTTATACGTTGAATAGTATTTCAAATGTATCAATATGTTTCTTTCCCATTCAACAATTATTGCTTTGTTATTGTTAAGTTTTTTTTTTTTACCTATTTTTATATTCATTGTACTGTTCTGCCTCAAAATGTCACAGTTTATATCTCTATTCCGTTATATCATGTGCAGTGAATTCAATTTCGTTTTGGGAATCCATTTCAGCACCTTTAGCCTTCCTCATCAACGTTTGTTTAAGCATTTCTTGTGTGCGTCCTCGCCTGCTTCATCCCCTTATTTCTCAGTTTAGTTCCTGTTTTTGTGATTCTCCTCTCGTTTACTCTTGTGCTATTAATGTTGATACTAGAGGTTGCCAAGACATTGCTCTTGTTTCTTCAATCCTCTTGAGTTCGTCATATTTTATGTTCATAATTTTTCCTCAGGCATATATGTTCACATGCATTTAACTTTCCTTCTATGTCTTTAGTGGCTCCTCAACTTTCACTGGCATACGTTAACACTTAATTAGCATGTAACTTGGTTTTAAAACTATTTAATTTTGAGCTCATTGTTCTGGTCAGATTTTTAAAAGCTGCTGATGACTAGCCTGCGCGTGTCATAATTCCTTTCGTTGTATTCCCTTCACTCACTGTCACTGTTTCTATATGAAAAAGGAAACTATTTGTTATCAAAATTTATTTTGGTACTAGTGTTACATCTGCTTGATTTATTATTGGGCTCGTAAATATATTTTTGTCTTTTCATAACATATTTACTTAATTATCCGTTTTTCTGTCTCTGTCATTGTGCGTGTGTGTGTTCTGTGTGTGTGTGTGTGTTTGTGCGTGCGCGCGCGCTTGGCAGAACAATATCATCAGAAAAACTGAGGTCTTTCAGATGTCTGTTCTCTACCCAGCCGATGCTGGTGTTTCCAACACATGTTTTCATCACCCAGTGAATGATTGTTGCTACTATTATTATTATTTTATTAGTCTAGGATTATTCCTTTTGAGAACCCGCCCCCTTTCACCTCCCCATCCCCATCTACCGTTCTTAGGTCTAGACAATATGTAGGTAGGTAGTTGTACCCCACCATGACATCACACAAGCGATAAACATCCGGTGACACAAAGTGCCACAATGCGGATGAGGATCACCCCTGGAGAGGTCACAGAATCTTTTTTAGCCGTTAGGCCATATTCACGGCTAGGCCACATCTATGCCCCGGCTATATTCAGGGACCCCAGCAGAAGCCAGGGTGCGGCTTCAAATAACAAAAAAATTGCATCCCACATGGGGACGATTTTACTAGACAATATGTTTTTTCCGCGTCTACTACGGGCGACTAATTTCAAGTATTACTTGTTATTTTGCAGGAATCACATTAACGAAACCCAGTTTCTGGCTGCAGAAGAGGATGAGTTTGACGACAAAGACAGTAACATCTGGAGAAACTTCGTATCACAATGTTCCGCCACATTTCTGGCTGTTTTTGCTGTCATACCTTCCAGGTAAGCTATGTGTAGTGTATCTTAGTCTTTGATCCGTGTATTGGGTGTGGTCTCATGTTATTGTCCGAAAAGGATATATTCTTCTTCTTCTTCTTCTTCTTCTTCTTCTTCTTCTTCTTCTTCTTCTTCTTCTTCTTCTTCTTCTTCTTCTTCTTTTTTCTTCTTTTCTTCTTCTTCTCTTCTTCTTTCTTCTTCTTCTTCTTCTTCTTCTTCTTCTTCTTCTTCTTCTTCTTCTTCTTCTTCTTCTTTTTCTTCTTTTTCTTCTTCTTCTTCTTCTTCTTCTTCTTCTTCTTCTTCTTCTTCTTCTTCTTCTTCTTCTTCTTCTTCTTCTTCTTCTTCTTCTTCTGGTTCTACTTCTTCTTCTTAAAATCCACGCTGTGTGGCGTTGGTAGTCATGTCTATCCACAATCTTTTATATACTCTGCCATTTTCAATTACCTTCTCTTTGTCCATTATTATGTAACCTTCTTTTCTTTTTAAACAACAACTTGTAACTTTCTTGTAAATGTACCGCCACATTTCTGGCTGTTTTTGCTGTTACTCCTTCCAGGTAAGTTATGTGTAGTGCATCTGCAGCCAACGAAGAGTTCTGATACTAACTGTGCCAGTAGCATTCTGACTAAACGACCGTCTTGCCTTTCATCTGAGCCTCGAGCATCTGCCAGAACCTCTCGTCACTCCACGCTGCATAAATCTCACCAGACTGGTGATCCATCTGCTTCTCCGAACTGTACACACTCTCCCACAAGGCACTAACCACGTCTGCCCTATCATGCTTTGGTATTCCACCAAGTTGTGCAAAGCCAGCCAGTCTATCCAACTGTTCATTTCCTAACACACCGACGTATCCTGGTGCAAAAAAAAATCAAGAAAATACTCCTCAAGCGTATCCTTCGCAGCGAAGCATGCCTGTCCTGACCTTCCTCAGCATGCTTTCTGAGTCAGTTACAATCACGATATGTGTGTGTGTGTGTGTGTGTGTGTGTGTGTGTGCGTGCGTGCGTGCGTGCGTGCGTGCGTGTGTGTGTGTGTGTGTGTGTGCGTGCGTGCGTGCGTGCGTGCGTGCGTGCGTGCGTGCGTGCGTGCGTGCGTGTGTGTGTGTGTGTGTGTGTGTGTGTGTTTTGTCGTGTTCTCTAACTATCGGAAAGCTGCAGTGACCGCCTCTACCTTCATTCTTAAGCTCAATGTTGTGGTATCATATGCTAGGCTTTCCTGCACCAAACGTCGACCATTACCATTTGCTAAAAAGCCCCAAGCGCTTCTTTTGCCTTTTGACACTGAACCGTCTGTGTAAATAATCAAATCCTCCGAGCGAGCATTATCTTGAATTAATTGCTGAATTCCCACCTCCGTGGCACCTGCTAGCCAGTGTCTGCATTCTCGGCTCAGTGTGATTTTGACTCTACACAAGTTTGACTGTTCAGGTGGCACTTTGACCCACTCCTCTCCTCGCTAAATGTTCTCAATGATGCAAAGAGTAAAAGGTGATAGGATAATGTATGTGGTGATTTATGTAAATAATATACCATTGATCTTTTTCTACTTAATACCTAGTCTAAAAGAATTAACAGTTGTATACTTTATAAATGTATGTGTTGTTTTAGTCAGGTATAGGTTTTTCCCCTGTTGCTTTGAAGGTCGTGGTTATATAGAAAAATAATACATGGACACTGGGTCACACATGGAGAATGGAGGAAGACATTCCCCAGGCGCCCTCCTCTATAGTAAACCATATATGGGTAAAAGATGTCGAGGCCGACCGCTGCTACTTTATGAAGATTTGTGCAATTGGAAACAAAATGTCATAGCCGTGTTGGGTAGAGGGAGCACACCAGTAAGGACATAAGAATGAAGGAAGAAATTATTGCAGAAAGGATGAGAGCTGAGCGTCTGAGAAGAAGCTGACTAAACACAAATGTTGACAACAACGGTCATGAAATCGAATTGTGGTTCTTGCTAGTCATACTCGCTATCGCCATAGGCTGTGAGTCCCATGCCTCTTCATTGCTCAATATACTTCTATCGTCTGGAAAGACGGAAAGGTGGCAATCATCATCACAGTAGCATGAAGACATTTTAAAAAGATGTATATCTTGAAAGAAATCAACTCATTATGAAAACTGACTGTCCACATCATAGATCAGTCAGTCAGGCAGATGCCATCTCCACAGTTAATGTTGACTGCAATGGGTTTCCAACAAGCTCTGTCTTCTTTGCTTTGTTATGTATATATTTCTATTCACATGTCACATTGGTGCTTTCACAGAAACCTACAGACAAGCATCCACGCCTCAAACGAGTTGGGAAAAATCTCATTAGTGTGCATGTATGGATCCTATATTATTGGCTGCATCTTCACAACGTTTATACTCAGAAAAGTCAAAGCCAAATCCTTGCTTCTGGCATCACTCTTCTTCCATATTTTATATTCCGTGTCTAATGTCATACCTTCTGGTTACACGCTGCTTCCATCTTCGTGTCTGGTTGGGCTATGCCAGCCTGCCTTCTGGGCCGTGCAAGACATGCTTTTGCTGAACTACGGGCTGAAGTATTCCGCCGCTACTCGAATGACGCCCCAAAAAGCTCTTCGTCTCTTTCAAACCGTCACTATCATCACCATCCACTCAGCGCAAATTCTGGGCAACCTGCTGAGCTCTGGCCTCATTTCCGTATCTCAATTCAAATGCAATGAAGACTGGGAAATGATCAACAAAGCTGCTAATTCATCGTCATCATCTTCCAGCTCAAATGCGGAAAAACTTTTGAGAACTGAAAAATGGACATACACGCTACCATTCACACCGCTTCAGGCTCATAAAACCACCGAGCCGTCCCCGCCAGTAAATTTCTACCAACTGCTCACCTTGATATACCTGTGCATGAGCGTAGTTGCCATGGGGGCAGTGTTAATTTTCTTTGAAAGCCCGGACACTGTCCTTCAGAGGCGTGTCTTGTCTTGGAGAGAGAGGGCCAAGGAGATCAAACAGTGCGTGTCAGACCCCCGATGGCTGCTGGCTTGGTGCGCTGCATCCTATGTTGGATACGCCCAGGGCATCATCATGTGTGACATCTCTAAAGTAAGTGTTTTTGTGAATGCACATGTTCATAATATAATCTTTGTTATGTTTAATATGTCGGTGTCTGTGGCTTAGGCGTTGCGAACACCCTTCGTAATGCCTGGGTGTGTGGGTTTGATACCAGCGACAGGCGACTTGTCAAGAGACCATCTAACCTTTGTTTCCTCTGTGGTATCGCGAGCCGACCGTTTAGAAAATAGTTGCAAATTACTGAAGGTAAATTTGCCTAGAATAAAAAATTACAACAGCCCCAAAAATGCTGGAGTTGGTTCTGCAACGCCCTGAAAAGGATACACAACTAACTATGTTTAATTTCCTACTTAAGGTAATGTAGTTTGCGATTTTAGGAAAAAAAAGGGGGGGGGGAAGGGGGGGGGGGAGACAGAATTACATACCGGCAACCATACCAAGGGTATGATTATTCTTCAGTCATACACACAAGAGTTCCCACAGATGAAAACAACTGATACATACATAACATAACCCTTGACCCATTAGGGTTGTTGAGGTGTATTGATGGAAGCACTAGCACATAAAAACCGCCATCTTTCTCTGTTTTCTGCTTGATAAATAAGTGTACGATAGCTTAGTCCTGTCAATTTCTTTATGTTGTCATTCCAGGTTCTTCTTCGCCATCCTCATCTTTGACTACCCCCCCCCCCCCCCCCCCCTTATGTTCCATGAAGTACAGTGTTTGCAATCGAATCATGTCTTACCACATGCCTAAACCAAGCTAGCTTGCGACGTTTCACCACTGCCAAGAGAGGCTCCTGATGTCCCGAAAATTTCATAAAACGACTGATAGGTTCCTAAAGTCTACAAAGAGTCCTACGAAAATAGAAACACAAGAACAAGCCAAATACAGCTGACAAGTTGTATCATAACCACAAGCACTGCATACGAGCACAATATTAGATCACTACAAGCGCAATAAATTTATTTAATTCACATGAGAACACATCATTGTGAAAGAGTAGTGATCAATGAAAGACTATTTTCTGCCAACTAATCACACTTTTTCCAAAGGCGGCAGTCTCTCAAAAGGTGGCACTTATCGGTGACTTGACGTGCGTAAAATACACAACATGCATGCCACTATGTGCCCACTCCTGGGATCACCGATAGCATATAACAGACACGTTCAGCTACGGGCCCACTCCTGGGGTCACCTATAGCCTATTACAGATACATTCGACCATGAGCCCACTCCTGGGGTCACCGATGGCCTATCATAGACACATTTAGCTATGTGCCCACTCCTGGGATCACCAACAGCCTATAACAGACACATTCAGTTACGGGCCTACTCCTAGGGTCACTAATAGCCTATAACAGACCTATTCGATAATTGCCCACTCATAGGGTCACCAAAAGCCTATAACAGACACATTGGGCTATGAGCCCACTCCCAGGGTTACCAAAAGCCAATAACAGACACATTCGGCTATGTGCCCCCTCATAGGGTCACCAATAGCCTATAACACTTGCGGCTAAGGGCCATCTCCTGGGGTCACCTATAGCCTATTACAGAGACATTCGACTATAGGCCCACTCTTAGAGTCACCGATGGCCTATAAAAGGAGACAAATTCAGCTATGAGCCCACTCCTGGAGTCACATATAGCCTATGATAGACATAGTCGGCTATGGGCCTACTCTCGGGGTCATCAATAGCCTATAATAGACACATTCGACTATGCGCCGACTCCTTAGGTCACCAATAGCCTGTAACCGACACATTCAGCTGTGTGCCCACTCCTTGGGTTATCAATATCCAGTAATAGACATTTTCGGCTGTCTACCAACTCCTGTGGTCACGAATAGACAATATATCAGACGCATTCGGATATGTGCAAACTGCTGCGGGTCACTTACAGCCTACAACGGCAAATATCGCTGTGTAGCCGGACTGACATGTTGGAAAGCAAACAAGATGGTGCTACTATCAAAATATTACACAAACAGCCACAGATACTGACCAACACTCTGTGAAATAAAAGCAGCAACATAAAAAAGTGGTCAGGTTAAGTATCAGTAACTTCATGTAACGTCTTCCTTAACTGCAGTCACTGGCAGCATTCATAATTCTAATCATCAAATTTAACTGGACAGTCCAAGCGCTCCAACATTGTTTAAAAACCACTATATCAGAACACATCCCTATGTCCAATCAATCTCACTGACCGAAAGCTACTGAATCAAGCTGCAAAGTGATTCTCCACCGACTGTCGACCTCGAGATCCTATTGGTTGCAGTTACCTGTGCTGTTCAAGCTAGCATGCCTCAGAAACTTAAGTAGCTAAACAGGGGTGACCTTGGTTTAAACAACAAAACATACATGTAAAATTACATGCAAGATTAAATATATAGGAAATGGGGCAGGAAAACTCCCCAGAGGAGACTGAGTCACCAACGAAGAACTATGAACAATGGAAGGTGCAGTAATATTATATGTATATATGATATATTTCAAAGAACTATAACGAATGAAATGGTTAGGTCCTTAGTTCAGAACAGAACAACCAATGACAGCACATGGAGCGGCGTACTATGAGACCAACATATCATTACCAAGCTATCGGGTCCAAAACATATCATAACATTTTCCCAAAATATCACCTGTATATGAGTGTTGCGTGTGGTTTCGGGTTTTCCAACATTGATTAGGCGAATGTAGCACACGCCCGTTGATTCTCGAGTCCACTAGGTGTCTGGTGACTTAGTTAATAATTGGACTATGTTGACTTAAGATAGGAGATGTAAGCGCAGCTTGAGTCAATATTTTGTTCCTGTTTTGACTTAGGGCCGGAATGACCAGTGGGTTCGCAAAGTAGCTGGGGGTAAATTGGCATACCTAGTTCGTGTTGGGCGAGACTGGGCACGAGAATTATGCAAGAAATAAATTTAGAATCGTGCATGACTGTGAGCGTTTTGAGTTGCACGGAGAGCTCACAGGGAACACATGTGTGTATTTACTGGGGTTAAGTTCAGTTGAACAGAGGACAGACAAGAGAACAATCGAGAACGCTCGCACTCGAGAAACAAGTTAAGGGACTAGTCGAAAGTGCAGTCGAGGAAAGAGAAGTCCAGTTGGCAGAGAGAGAGCTTGTCGTTCTCTGTGATAAAAGCTTGTCTTGGGTGACGACGCATGGTGGCGGTCTTGATCATTATTAAAACAAGACAGCAGTTTTACATACGAGAAAGACCCTAGTAGATATCGGCAACAGCTGTGTGCCGAGAGGACTAAGAGTTGAGAGTTGTGCAGGTCATCATAAGTTTTCTCGACCAGGCTGGTGTACTGTGCGCACAGTAGGGAGCTTAAGAATTGTGGTTTTCATTCAGCCGATGGGAAGAGTCCGCTACGAGTATAGCAACTGGAGTCAGGTTGAGTAGGCTAGATGGAGCTCAAGATGACAGCTAGTGTAGGCTGTCCGTTGGAGCGCCGCTGAAACTGTTTTGAGTGAAGTTTGTGACATTCATTTCAAGGTTAGCCAGTGTTAGACATGTGTAGGATGCTTCGCGTCCATTATTATCTGTGCCGGTGTGTGTACCCGAATATTCTTATGAAATAATTATGTATATATGACGACAAGCAGTCGTTTTACGTTTTCCGGTGTGCAAGTTGCAGTGTTCAAGCGAAGCTCGTATCCTAGACAATCACTTGACCTCATGTTTGTATGCTGCCAGTAATCAGCATACAACAATGAGTTATATCTCGCCTTGTTGTTGTTGTTGTTGTCAATCCTTGATATTCTTTGCATCATTTCCCAACTTTCGCTTTAGCAAGATTAACTACGGCCCTCAGTATCCACAGTTAATATTTATATTAAAAATATCAGTTCTTAGTCTATAAGCGAATTCCCGAAAACAGCAAAGAAGATACCATCAAAAGTGCCTGCAAATGTGCTAACCAATTTAAAACAAAGGTTTTTTTACCGAAACAAAATGGATTACTCCATCGCCACTGTTAATATTTCAATTTAAAATGAGGATTATTATTCCATTCCTTAGACTCCCCACAAAAACCGCAGACAAATCTATCAAGCGTTGGAAATTCGAAGCAAACATCTTCCGTTCCGGGAAAATATTTCTGAGAAGAATTTAAATTGGGCAAGCATTGTCGTGATTTATCTTAGGCTGAGAAGATTAGGCTTCTAAATTTGATGTTCTGCTAACGGTCCAGTGTCAGAGATAAAGGAATCCCTTCATGGGTTCGAAATGAAAATACATCATTTGAGCTTACACACTGCAGGAGAAATACTGTTAAGTAATTTCGAATAAAATGTTGGAGATAATTTGCAAGATTGCTTTTCATTTAAACATATAAAAACTATCTTTAAACATAAAAATAACTATCTTTCTACCATTTTCTATGAGTGCCAGTCAATACATTGTATGTTTGTTTATTATCTATATTAATATATATCATCATCATGTAACAGGTCCTTTGCATAATGTCGCTCTCATCACGGTCTGCCTGAAAGAAACTCGGTCTCTTGGTAGCTCTCCCGCCTCATGCACTTTCACACTCAAGGAGTCACTTATATCCTGTCCCCATATTCGTGTTGGTTGGCCCCTGGCCCTCCTTCCTGGTACCACGCCTTCTGCTAATTTTTTTTTGTCCACTCCGTTGTGGCGCTTGTTATGACTAAAACATTTCAGCTTCTGAGACAGAATGCTGTTTATTAGCCAATCTTCTTTGATGTTCAGATCTTTCAAGATGTCATTTTTTCTCCTCTTCTTTCTCCAAGGTGTTCTAAGAGCTTTGTAGATCATCTCAGCTCAGAAGCCACAAACACACACACACACACACACACACACATATATAAATATATATATATATATATATATATATATATATATATATATATATATATGTGTGTGTGTGTGTGTGTGTGTGTGTGTGTGTATAAAATGTTCATACAGCCACAAAGGTTCCTCCTCTGTTTATCTGTGTGTTTTATGTTTAACACAATGGAACCTATCAGTCAAATCTCTTTC